CAATATCGTGTGAGAGACGCGGTATATCAATCGGGCCAAACGTGAACAAAACGTGTGAGAGACGTTGTGTGTCAATTGGACCAAACGTGAACAAAACGTGTGAGAGACGTTGTGTGTCAATTGGACCAAACGTGAACAAAACGTGTGACAGACGTTGTGTGTCAATTGGACCAAACGTGAACAAAACGTGTGAGAGACGTGTGAGACTTTGAACGTTCAGACAAACCGTGAAATGGCCCGATGTATGACCGACATTTTTGTTGTTTATGGCATGCGTTATTGGAATTTAAATCGTAAGGCAAGGGGTTAAATGAAAATTAGCCGGCCAAGCACAGAGCGCGACCGATACGCGTTCGACTAGTCAACGCGATCGATTGACTATTCTTCAATTAATATTTTCATCAAATATCGAATATTTACCGAAAAACTACATATGTACCGCAGAAGAGACCCCCTACAGAACACTTAGACTCCATTTTCAATAACCATAGCGACGTGCAAACAATGAGCCCGAATTCTGTCCCACTCTGTACGTAGTCCGCAAACCCAACCATTCCCTTGATATCCTTACGACGGCAGCGAAGAGAAAAAAAAAGAAGAAAAAGAGCGATCCTTCCGTTTTCTCTCTCTTGTCGTTAGGCCGTCGCCGTATTGGGCTGCGCAACTGTTACACGGAAAAGGAGAAAGAAAAAGCGACCAAACAGCCCCTTTTTCTCATTCGCTTCTGCCGTTTTCATAGTCAGATCAGCGAGCGGGATCCACACGTTCCACGTTCGTGGACCTAGCCAAAGAATTCAGAAGTTCCCATAGAAGCCCAGAAAGATACGGACGTTCGATACTCGATAAATAGTACGTTAGCCAACGGATGGCGGCGGTGTAATCATCTCTCCATCTCCCTCAATCTTACGGCAATATATAGCGAATTGCATTCTTACTTTATCTTACCCACACACTCGCCTATCTATACGCGTCTCTCTTCCTCCCGTATATGAGATATCATGGGCTAACCCGTGGGATCTCTTTTTTACCCCCACTTCTTGTTTGCTAGCCAACATTTAGATCATCAAGAGCAAACATAGAATCTGGGCTTCTATGGGACTTCTGAATTCTTTGACCGAGCCTTCGCTGATCCAGGAACGCGGTCGAACGATCGAAAGGCATCGAAATGAGGTGCGTATAGCTGGCACCCCCACCTTTACAAAATTCAAATTTCTATGTCTTAACATTTTGTGCCCTTTATGTGCTAATTATGTGGTACAAACGCATGTAAAGGTGGGGGTGCCAGCTATACGGACCTATCGAAATCAGCGTCAAATCGTTCGGAAGATCGACCCCGTATTTTCGAAACTCGAGCTATGACATAACCTCAAAGTACGCGTCCCCTTTGTCCCACCCCTCCGCGTGTGCCACAAGGTTATGTACTAACCGGAGGAGAGGAAGTCTCCAAGGGAGCCGGAACCTCGCCATCTTGGCTCCGGGCCAGAGAATTTGGCGCACGTGGTGCGCGCGGGAAGTTCAAACCGCAGACAATGTCACGTGGGCATCTGCGGTGGCTTAGCGACAAAGTTAAACTGGATGGTGCGCCGTGGACGACGGTGGCGACGTTCAGGGTAAATTAAGAGAAGTTACGCGTTCGTATTAACTCACGTCACTGAGGCAAGATGACCCTAGTAGCATGGAATAATTTCTAAATATTTCTTTGTAATCTTTGCTAAATATCTCATCCAATATACACGCGAAATTCGGTAACGTAGGAATTTAAAAGAATCGGAACGGAAACGATATATGAAGTACGCCATTTAGTGCAAAACCCAACATACACGGGAAATTCGGTAACGTAGGAATTTAGAAGAATCTTTTTCCTCGACGTGTTTCACTTCACCTTAAGCCCAAAGCCCGTGTACTCTTTGCCGGGCGACATTTCTTGTCAGTAGACGGCGTATCACTGACCTTACGTACGGTTCAATGATAGGTGCGCCTGCATTGACGAGTCGGCTATAACAGAGTGCATAGGCTCTGTTAATAGTTAAATATGGACGCGCTTCTATTCCGGGCGAAACCGTGGGTTATCTTTATACAGCCAACGAAGCTTAACCGGAAGTTGAGCGGCTGTTTATACACCTTGCGAGAGGGGATAACGTCTGACATGGTTCGCGTTTCTTTATCACGCGGGTACTTGTATATCGGGAGCACCGTAAAATAATCTCCTAGGCCAGCGCGAGTGCATAAAACGCACGTCTACAGCTGCATAATAGATACGACTCTCTGGGCGGATTAAGGTGATATGAAAGGGTCATTCTATGTGTGAGCCGCTCAGTGCACACATCGACTAACTCCACTTTTTGAAAAATCTTAAATTTAGGTGTCAAAGCACTTGGTATAGTCGTAACTTTTTATATTTATAATATCTTTCCTGATTAATAGAGATTAACACCATTAAACGGCAACATTTTTTTGGGCATTGAATAATAAGTAATTTATTTCAGAAGCCATTTTGATTAACTCCATACTCTAATGTAAATCGTAGACGAATACCTGGCAGTATAGTATTATTGGATTATCCGTTGCGGCCGTACATCGACGCTTTTTTTTTTTAAACAGCCGAAGATGCTTTCCCCCTTTCAACAATATGAGTAATAAAATCGCATCAGCAAACAGATAGAAAGAAGCGCAATGCAGACGGTACTTGGTATAACAGTGATCTCTCACGCTGAATGTTACCGTATACTTCACCAATATTACACGGACTACATATTTTTTGGTCTTTTCAACATTACTCCCTGATTGTTTTTAAAGAACTAAATATTATACCGCTATAATCAAGATGAGTGAAACTAATAACAATGTGGATGTGGAAAGCAGGGATGATTCTTCAATACGATTTATCAGCAGAAAGTCTGGGGCAAGAATACGTTTATCGTGTTTCTCGGATTCATCTGATTGCAACGGTACAAATTCCCCAACAAACACATCGATTGGGAGGAAAAGAAGTCGTAATCCTGATAAATGGGCACGAAATTTACAAAAGCATAACGGAACAAAAGGTTTGGCATACAGAAATACGGGAGGAAATTTAATACCTGCAAAAACATTTGTCGATATAAAATGCAGACGATTATTTTTTGGCTATTCTTTCTTATTAATTTTATATACCGTTAGATGAAAACTATAACTGTATTTATGTATTCTACATTATATATTCGAAGTTATATTATAATAGGAATTTTAAAAAAGAATCTACATTACTTCATCGCATTTCTCAACTTTTTGTTTTATGGAGTTAATCAATGTGTGCACTGAGCGGCTCATGTATAAAACGTCAAAATATTTATAAAATTGTTCTCCAAACTGAGTTGTCCGAATCATTTGGAACTTCAGTACGTGATTATGGAGATCCTAAGGAAGAACCTGGTGCTCATGACAATTCATAAAAAAAAACAATGTATTCTTGATTCTAGTCTGGGACAAATAAACAAATTGTTTTGTAACATGGAATTTCATGAGCATCGCGTTTTTCCTTAAGGTCTTCATAACCACGTGCCGAAGTTTGAATGATTCGGTGCACCCAGTTTCGGGAAAAGTTTTATAAATATTTTGACGTTATATAGATATATAGGATGACCCTTTCGTGTTACCTTAAGTCCACCTACCCTTAGATATATGGTTATGGAAAAATAAAGGAAAACTAATCGCTATTTGATTCGGCTGTAGGAGGCCATGGAAATAATCAGGAGACACAAAAAGACGTATTACGTCTTCGCGATAGACCTAATGAGAAACGTGTTCCGATGTGGCCGGCTCGACACTCTCTGATGCAGATATTAATCCTCGTAATAGGAAATGAAAGAAATTCTCGCCCGATTGCGAGGTTAAAAGGTACCCTGGGAACGGAACGACAGGAGATGGAAATCAAAGTGCAAAGGACCTCCCCCACGCGGTGGAAGTGAAACTTCGACAGTATAGAAAGTTACTAGATATTATTAATTATTCTTTCGCGAAATGCCGTTACGCGTTCGGTAATTATTCTTTTGGGCATACTTACGTTAATTTTGTTTATTTCTATTATTTCTATTTCACTTTAAACGTAAACGATCAACTGAGAGACTAACGCCCTAACGCTAACGAGAACGTTTACGGAAATGACCCCAATACTAACATACAAAGGCGGATATAAATAGAGCCTAATTGTAAGAATAAAATTTACGCAAATTGTGTCAATGCGATGGTGAAAATGATAATTAACTGTACAAAAAAAAAGAAAGATTTAGGACGAGTTGAGGATGACGAGCGGCGATTTTAATATCAACTTCGTCAAGCCAGAAGCACGAACTAAATAACACTAACGAAAACGTTTACGCAAATCGTATTAATTCTAAAACGCAAAGAAAAATGTGAACAGCAATTGAGGTGATATGATAAAGTCATTCTACATATATCAAAATATCAAAATGTTTATAAAACTTGTCTCCAAACTGAGTGCACCGAATCATTTGGAACTTCGGCACGTGATTACGGAGGTCCTAAGATAGAACGCGATGCTCATGAAATTTCATTAAACGGAAGAAAAATATATGTCCTTGATTCTAGTCTGGGATAAATAAACACGTTTTTTTCTTTTTTTTTTAATAAAATTTTACGACTATCGCGTTCTTCCTTAGTCTCCATAATCACGTGCCGAAGTTTCAAATTATTTGTTGCACCCAGTTTGGAGAAAAGTTTGATAAATATCTTAACATCTTGATATGTGCGTGTGTGTGCTTATGCGCGCGCACACACACACATTCTATATGTATTCCACAATAAAAATAATTCTTTTCATTATATATATGTACGTATGCATATATATATATAATGACACTATTTTATCACCTTAACTCTAAAGAAACAAAAGAAAGCACTTCGCTTTCAGAATCGGACCCCTCTCGGAGTATGCAAAGTTACAGGCACTACCGTGCCACGAGAAGTTTCGCTCGAAAAGTAAAAAAAAAAAAGTCACTCACCTCGTAGAATGGTCGACGAAGGATCCGCCGTCCAGGAGGCGAAGCTTCGCGAAGAGGACAGCGCTGACGAAAGGCACTGCGGTCAACTCCTCGAGGTCGACCTCCACCGAGAATTTGTACTTCTTCTTCTTCATCATAAAGGCCATCTCACTAAGCCCCGGGCACTTCACTTTGATTACCGGTCGGAGCGAGGGCTCTCAGGCACTTCTCGCCGCTTCGAGAGCCGGCCGGGTGGCGGGGATCTGCCTTGCCGACCGAGGCGCGCGCGCTCGTCTGGTCTCACATCGGCGGGTCTACCGACTCCCGGCCCTTCCTCCGCGACCCCAAGGGCAACCAAACCTCCTCCTCCCCCCACTCTACCCCACCCCACCCCCCCACGAGACCGTCCGAATTTTCCACCTGCGGTTCGCGGGCCCCAATCGCTCTTCGCCTCGCCGCGTCCGACGTTCGAATGGTGTTTCCCGCTCCAGAAACGCTCCTCGGGGCGATTATCCCCCAGCGGCGAGTTACCGGGAAAAAATTCCTCGTGAGAAATGAGAACTTCCTCTTCCTGTCGAATTCGAGTGCCCTCGGTTCGGTGAGATTAGACGCGCAGTCCGGGTCCTGCGAGCCGCGGGAGAGTCGCCATCTTTGTTCCGCACGACTCGGTTCTTCCTGGGACGATGCTCGGGCAGAAGCTCACAGTGGCCGACCCTCCAGGGGGAAGTCCCGTTCGAATTTCCCGCGCCGGATGAAACGAGCAGGCCGTGCCGCGCAGTCTCCGCATCGCTTACGCACGAGCTACTTCCTCCGCCTCAGTCTGGGCCGACCTTGGCGGCGGATTCGCGAGCCTCGCGGGCGGCCATTTTGGTCCCGGGAGCTGGAACAGGGAAGATAATCTCTATATACCACCTGGGAGTTGAATTCTCATGTGGAAAGTTACGGAGGGATTTTGAGGACCCGCCAAAGCCCTCTTTCGGTAAGAAACGTCGACGATAAGTATTCCAGGCGAGAAATGAGAGTGCACGAAGTATTGCGAGATGTCTCGAGGTACTTTTGCGTGAAAAGCTGGGTAAAGAAGAAGGAAAAAAGAAGAATAAGAAGAAGAAGAAAAATTACCAGCGGCAGACTGGAGCTAAACGACGTGTTAAGATTATACCCGCGCGCTTAACCATTTTTCTCGCTTTTTTGCAGCTTTTCAAGTGGAGATAAAAAGTACGCGTTAACGGGACTTTTTCCCTTCCTCCTCGTATTCCTTCCCGCTACCCAAGAATACGGTACGAACGTCTATTTCACGAATTCATTTTCACGGACACGGTACATCCAATTGATGCCTGGAAACACTTAATGGCTATATTTATTTTCTAGTTTCAGGAGAGAAAGATTTCGACTTATTTCAACTTCGGCACTAGCTGTGCCTGAAACTTATCGCTAATGAGACGATCTAATGGGCATTACCAGACGTTTGATAAGTGATATCGCATCGTTATCTCCCAGCTGATAAAGGTTCCGAACTTTCCTAGATTCGCCCCCGAGAAAACGGGAATTTCAATTTGCTATCTAGGGCATTATCCCACCCGAGCGGAGGTGATATAATCCAGTGGCGAGCAGAACCGAGTTTATAATTGATTCAGAGGACGGTCGGATCGTGAATTGTAATTCCTGTGTGGAGTGAGCGCCGGAAAAAAAGGACGCGCGAATCAACGCACTCCGAGTCAGGTTTCGGTGTGCTAAATGTTAGGTTAGGGGAAAAAAAAAAATAATAATAACCCTCGCTAATGATGAACCGTTCTTGCATCCAGGGCACCGATGAGAGACGCGTACCTGACATCTAAGGTAAATGTCCCAGTTGTCGACCCTCGAAACGGAACTTCCAACACCAAAAGCGCATGTGCCATCAGGGGTTGGCATAAATCCATTTTTTTACAAAAATGAACCCAGCTCAATCGTTTTAACCGGTTTAAACCATATTTGCTGGTTTGTACCGCCTAAATCGTCTAAATGCAGTGGGTAAAACCTGGTTTAAACCACATTTAAACCGCGTTCTTTCCATTGTTTTATCCCGAGTATGCACAGGAACGCAAAATATGTTTGAATGCTACACCGCAGATAGGTTAGAATTTATTTTCATTTCTTTGGATGTAAAGGAGCCCACGTGGACAGGCGGCATGTACAATATTAGAATAAATTGTACGCTACATACATCCTGATGGATTTTATAAGATAGTTTTAACCTGTTAAAACCGAGTGGGCTTCATGTAATGAATTTCATTTACTGGAAAAAAAAAGGAAGAAACCGCTAGTTTTAACTAGAATGGATTAAACTTTGCCAACCCTGGACTGCCACCGCATAAGGAATGGGAAATCAAAAGCGAGAGAGAGAGAGATGTGCGAGAGGAACGTTTTCTCGATTTTTGGAATTTTGACATTCCCCAGAAAATATTCATATTTAACATTTCGTCAATCGTATTTCCCCCTTTTCCAGCCCTTACCTATATAGTGTAGTGATCCCATAACCTGTGCTTTATAACCTTGTTTCAAGTATTCTGCGTTTTTTTTTCAGCATGTATATGTACGTACACATAAGGTTATAAAACTAACAACGACAAAATATAAATGTATATGTGCCGGAAATGTTTCGTACGAAGAAAAGTGTCCCGTGACGTCGAAAAAGTTATGAACCACTGTAAATGGTGTTTTAATCTACCGAGCTCTCGTCGGACAATGATAACTAAAACGTGTTCGAGCACAGTGCCCCATTTTCAAGCGAAATAAATTACGATAGTTTGAAAAAATATCCTGAGCTAGAAAAACGACCGAATTGCAGCTCCTAGTCGCTTCTAGTTTTTTTACCGCCTGTAATCTCGTTGTATCATAATTATATTATCGCTTTTGCGCCGTTGATATCTTTACGATGCAATGCAGAACCGACCAAGTGATCGCATTCCCCTGGAATGTATCAAAGAATAGTTATGATTAAATCTCCTCGCAAACGCGATCGTCCATCTGCGTTGAACATCAATTCTCGTTAGACCACAAGTCAAGCTGTCAGTGAATCGTTTTAGAGAAATCACGGTGCAGTTGAGACCCCAATTAAGTAATATGATTCGCCAAGAATGCATTCAGCCGCAATGGCGATTTAAACATTAAATAACAAACGCGACGATAAATTCAGGGAACCTCTATACAACTCAAATTGCCTTGACATCGTGAAATTTACTATTACGCCTTTTACCGTGCAATTAAATGTTGTTATTCCCTGATAGCCTGACCGAGCGATGTCCGATTAACGTCCGAGTTTACAATTACTAGTAATGCCGACTTAACGTCAAAATTTAAGATTAATACTCCTGTCGCGATTCAAGACTTCATACAATTTAATTCAGTCAAATACAGAAGCAAGGGAATAAAAAAGGCGAGATTCGAAAGTTAAGGTGAAGTGAAACACGTCGAGGAACTTGATCGACGTCGATAAAGATTTTTCTAAATACCTACGTTACCGTCGTTCGTTTTTATATCGACAGCTGTGTCGAATTATATTGGGTATTGTACTAAATGGTTTATTCCACCTGTCGTTTTCGTACAATAATTATAAAGAAATCGAAGTAAAACTTCAGAAATCCTCTGGATTCGTGCTTTCTGGGGCCCTAATTGACTGCAGAGACCCCCTGCGCCATCTGTGATTTCCAGGTCAATTAAATTTTCCCTCCAAGACCTCGTATTCCCATCGATTTGGCATAGAAGCGCATAAAACACTTTTTTCGCCTTTATCCCATTCAAATTCGAGTTTATCGATAACCAGAATGTTTTAAATTATCTTAAAATTGTCCCGACCCTTTCGTTTCTCATATCAGAGCCTTCAATAATTGTATATTGATCGAAATATAAGAGCTCAACTCCATTTTGATTCTGGTCTGGGCTAAGTTAAAAGATTTTTTTGGAAAAATCCAAATTTTGAGGGTGTCAGGACAATTCTTAGATGATCACGAGTCATGTGTCAAAGTTGCGGATAGTTTGGTCCAATACCCTTAAAAAAAAAAGTGTTGTATTCGAACGACTGATTTGAGGGGGGTTTCACTTCACCTCAAATCGCAGCCGCACGGTATCACGTTATCTTGCTGTGCTTTCGACTTGTCGTCTCTGCACATTTGGTACGGTCCGATTGGCAAAGGAATCCCGAAATGCGTCATTTCGGGAGCAAAGTGTGTATACTCTTTATCATACAAAGCGGCTAATTGACACGAGTAAAGCCCCAAAGAGAGGGTAAGACGTTTGTCAAATGCCGACAAACACCGAATTTTCCCGGGGCGACAATTAGCTTTCCCAATGAGGTAGGGAAATGCAAAGACCGCCTAAAAACCTCTTACGATTACTGCCAAAAGGCTTATTGTGACATGTCTAAGTTGCTCAAATACTTTCGGTGAAAATTTGCCGAAGTATTTTATACGTATGGGGAAGATCGTTATGATTGCGAACGAAGCTCTACATAAATATCATTCAGAAGCTACGTTATGAAATTAATAACGGCCAGTTATCCTAGAAAATTCCACCGCGTAACGAGCGGAAAAAAAGAGATAACGCAATAAAAAAAAAAGAAAGACTGACAATCTAGGAAGGTTGACGACACCTGTAATAGCCAGCAAACCGTGTTCACTATTTGAAACGGTTCCAGGTGATTAATGTAAGACTTTAACGACATAATTAGTATATAATTATTGTTCCTTTCACGTTTCATCGTTCGGTTATGATCTTTTAACAGAAGTCTCTGGGCCAATGGTTACGTAATAAATTGTTCTATTACAAATGTTATGAAACATAACGCATTTCAGACACCCCCACGTATATGCACTTATATCCCCTTCCAATATACAAACCTAGACACAAGAGCAATTATTGACGCCGATAACGTCATCGTCTATCGCCTTTCAACGACATCCCCTGTCCTCTGCAAACACGACAGGCAAAAGTCAAAATACAACCCAAGCGCACGATTGGATCTGTTTAAAAAAGGAACCGCTGTTTGAAGAGGTCCAATTTTAAATATACTTCCACTTTTATCCTCAGCCTGTCTTCGTGGGCGGTTATTTCTTTAACAGGTTGTGCATACCAGAGGCGGTGGAATAAGTGGATCATCAAAAATTCAGGAAGTTCAGAAGGATTTCGTTTACACTGACCCAGAAAAATGAACCCCGAGGAAAAAGTACCCCGAACGAAGATTTTTCCTCGGTACCCAAGAAAATCGAAAAATCGCACGTGACCACTCCACTCGTCAGAAGTGAAACTTCTATGTTAAAAAGAATTGTTATTAATGTAGGACGTACTTTATTGGTTTTCTACCTTCTAATGCTTTGTTACCCTA